TGAAAATTCGTCGTTTTTCATTTCTTCACGATTCAATCACTTTCTTTTCTTAAAAATAAGACGAGAAGTAAGTATGGTTGGTTCATTACCACGTTCTCGGCGCTGTATGTTATATATTGTTCTTTGCCAGTTCTTTTAAAACATGAACTTAATTTGTGCGCGCAATAGTCCTTTTTACTCCAAAAACAAAAATTCCTTTTTGCCTCTTGGTTTATCTTATCTTTACTCCTTGTGCATTTCATTTTTTGAAATTTGCAAATTGTGCATTCTAGTTGTAAAAATGAAATAATATTTATATTGATAAAAACAAATGGTGCTAAATTTTCTACACAGCTTCCAAGAATCATAATTTATTTTATTTTGCTGTAGGGGTATTTGATACATTTAGTCAAGTTAAACAGAAAGGTTTGGGAGAAAAACAATCACCCTTTATTTTCCTAAATGCATTTAATGTATTTTGCTTCAGAATTTTCGTAGACAATAGATAAACTAGGTAGAATTGTTATTGTGTTCTGTATCTTTTTCATTTACGAACATTCCAATTAAAAGCAGAAAAGTATGTTCTCTCGTTAGCTAAGTAAATTGAAAAATAACAGATCACCATTTTACACCTTGTTCCTTTCACTGATCGCACCCACCCGCTTCATCACGCTTCGGCCCGCGGCTTCGTCGGTGGCCCCCTCCATTTATTGAGTCCATTTCGCTCCTCGCGCGACGGCCTGCGCGCATTTGCCGGAAGCGGAAAAGAAGGTTCCGCCCTCCTCGAGCGCGCGTCGCCCCCATAACCTCTTCGCTCCCACCGGCGTCGTGTGCGGTTGCGCGCCATCGGCTCCCCCCCCCCGCCCCCGCCCTCGCCCCGGCCCCACCCAACCCCCACAGGTCGTCCCGGTCAGTGGCAATGCTGGGACATCAGTTGATGCCCTGTGCCACCCAATCCTGTGACTTGTTAAATCCATTCAAGGCCAATCCTATAAAGGGGATATCTTTCGTTGCTCATCATTGTTTCTGAGTCTTCACTTACACACGGTTCCTTCTCCAGACACTACTCTACCTGATAAGCTAGGGTAACCGTCAGGAGCTCTGTGTTTGTCTGGGGTAAAGAGGTAGCCCCCAGTAGGTAATACCTCCAAGAGGTAATCCCGCACGCTGACATGTATGTCGACGTCGAATGTCACCCAGCGGGGAAGAAACGCCACTTACGGTACTAATGTCCTCAGCAGTTGACGAACCCGCCAACATAAAATGATAAAATCATACATATACATGAATTCATACAATACATACATATACACGAATACATACACATATATACAAGCATTAATGGAAGTATTTTCTCCATGTTCTACTGCCACCCTGTCGCCGCCTGTGCCGCCGAAGTCACGCACTCCGCATGGAGCAGCTGCGTTGCGTCGGCGGTAGCCCTCGCTCTTGTTTCTTTTTTCTCTTTCGTTTTATTCTGTTGGCTCGTCTCTCTTGCGATTCGGGTCTTACTTTTCTTCACTCTTTTTATTTTATTTTCTTCTTCACTTTTTGACCAGCGGGATATCTCGGTATGGAGCTACTACTTGTTTGTTTTTTAAATAGAGGAAAATCCTGAATAGAGCTGCCTCGAACTCTCTGTGCCCAGCAACTTCATCGGTCAAAGCCATATTTTTGAGGTGTGATACACTCCACTTTTGATGGAAGTTGTGTCGTTTTATATTTTATGAAGGTTTTTTTCATAGAAGATTAAATGAAATAGATCTGCTGTATGACGTGAAAGTAGTGGAACTTTTCTGAAGGAAGACGTATGGTTGGCTGAGGAGAAATGAGCAACTCAATGTCTGAAAGGAAAGGAAATCCTACACGATGAAAAAAGAATCTGGGTTCGGTCACAAAGAATGAAATTTCTGAGAACTAGCAGGTTTCAAATATTGTTGTGCCACTACAGTAAAGGCTGAGAAAATCACATTTCAAAGAGATTCCTGAGTAAAAACTTTGTTGATATATGAAACGCAGTAACTTGATGTTATGTCACTGGAACATACTGAAAACAATACAAAATTCTCCACACGTTTAGATATAAATTCGAAACAGCTGCAAATAAATGATTTTTTGTTTCTACGTAATATAAACTTACTACACACTTTGATACTACCATTCGAAAAATTAAATAGAAAAATTCGATGCACTTTATATAGGTAGTAAAATGTTACAAAATGTACTTGAACTGTACATTGTCTCACTACTTTGTAATTAAGTTAATCTGAGATTCATGAAACAATATAAACAACAAACATTGGAACTTACTTGATTGCCGCAGACAATAAGGCCTGGCTTTTATTGAAAAATATTCCCTAAAAGTGTTCCTTTAGTTGTTTCACCTTTTCACTAATTTTGAACACTAACACTTCCAAAATCATATAAAATAAACGTAAAAATACGCACAAATGAGGATAATACTTGTACATTTCAAAATAAAATTAATAAATTCAGTTCAAAAAAAGCTTTAAATGAAAATCTAAACACGTAAATTATTTTTAATACATTTTTTCACATGACAGTGGGTAATCGGGTGTTACTAGGGTTCAATTCACGACTCTGTTGCATTTTCCACATACCTAGGTCAAATTCGGCCACCGTATGATGGAGAATTCTAGGTTGGCGGTACTGATCAGAAGTTTTCGTGCTTTCTTCGATCAATATAAGGATAAGACCGGAAAAGTACTTTAAGCGTCAAATGGTGTCGCCCCGTCCAACTTGCGTTGCTGGTGATGTAAGGTCTGTGTAACCACGAAGTTTAAGAGATTATTTCGGTATATGATTTTGCACAGACTTGATTATTTTTTCAAATTAATTGTGGTATAATAAAGACGGAAAAGGGTTTTAATTAATACGTAAAATAAATATGTCTTTATTTATTACTCGCTGTGTAAATTTCTGATTACTATTCGTTCCATACATGATTAATTATCTGAGTAGGCATACAAGTGATTTGAAACAATATTCACTCCATTACAATCCTTATTTAAATAAGAAAATGTATAGTTACACGACCATTGTCCATTAAATAAATGTGTAATGTGTCTGTTGTGTAATTATAAATGAGAAGAAGTCCTTTAATGATATGTTTAATTGACACAACATTAATTTCGCAAATGGTGCGCCACATAAGAAGAAGACATACAAAGTGGTCTTCGGTTGCCGTGAAGTTGTTTTCTTGAAGTGTGAGGCGGTCGGTCCAGGATCTACTTGGAGCCACTGGAGGGACACTCGGTTGACTCTCGGCGAGATGCGTGGCCCTCACCTAGGTCAGCGCGGCCGCTGCACGCGTGTGGCGCTGTGATGTAGGTTCAGACTCTCGGCTGCGACTAGCTGCGACTGGAAGCCGCTGACTCCGCGAGGGAAAGTCGTTGGATTTAAAGCCGTCGGCAGGCAACGGGGAGTCCGGACGGCGACATGGTTGGTGAGGCAGCTAGGTCGCCTGGACGCAGCACGACAATTCTGCACCCTATCGACCGTTGCCCGAACTGCAGTCGCACGCATTTTGGATGTCGAGCGCGTACACGGCAGGTTCAACTGCTTTTGAACAGACTTGTGCAACTCTTTGTATCACGGTGTTCTTTAGAAGTACCCATCGCTTGACGAAACTGTTATGATATCCATTTCACTTTTACTACTCTTCCTCTGCTGCTATTTCTTCTAATATTTATATTCTCAGTGTTCATCATCTTGTTCCTTACTCTTCCTCTTCGTTGTTAGTATCGTGTTCACTTTAAAAGGCCCAATCACAGTCACATTACTGTCACACAACCAGCAATTTCCGCTATCGAAAGTGGGATGTTTAGGGACACTCTCCGAGGTCGTTCAGCACGTTCACACATAATCGAAATGGCAAGAAACGTTTTATCAATATTGATGTGCGGTCTACGAGAGCGGTCTGAATCTTGAACTGACCCTCAAAGGTGAACAGCCTTCACTCGATCCGCTAGTCCGCATCTGATATTTTAGAAGCAGATATGAAGGTACACTAAACAAAAACACGTGAGGAGAGAGTTATGCGCATCTTTCTCAGCTATTTCAGAGACAGCAAGACTCAACCACACAAGTATCAATAAATAGCCCAAGGAATGAGCGAAGTTTTTTCCTTTGTCGTTCTTGTCCCCTCCTTTCCTCGTACATACACACATTCCCTTACATGCATAACACTGGCAAACATGCCCTCATCGGGAGATGAGCGGCTGTTTTGGCTGGGGAGGTGCCCCGCTGGGGGAGGTACATGGAGGGAGGAATCAGCGCAAGATGTCTTGTAGGTCGGTACCAGACTTCACATTCCAGTGGAATAGAAACACCAACACCCTCTGAGTCGTAACATAAACTGCATTCATGAAAACAATGACACTAGTCGTTGGAGCGCCCGGAATCACTAAATGATGAAACACTCCTCCCTGTACGTCCGCGGAGAGAAACCATGGACACTGTAATGGGAGCGGCAGGACCTTGATACTTGAAACGTTTCAGGTAATCACTCCAAATGGCAGGAAAAACTGGTAGTGTAGTAAAATTCAGGCGTTCCATTACTGGGGTCTTCTTCCATTCCATTTCCCCTCCTCGCCCGCCCGCCGCGGAGATCAATCGGCCGTGGGCGGCGGCAGCGACGGGCCGCGCTCCTGGGCGCGCGCTGGCGAGCTTCATATCCGCCCGGTAACGACGGTCGATGGCTGCGGCGGAAGATAACCCTGCCTTCCGGACATCGGGCAATGTTGGAGAGGACGCGGCTCGCTAGCGCGCTCGCTCGCTTGCGCGGGCCGGCAAACAAGAGTTAAACTGATTATCGGGCGTATGGGAAGGTCGAGGACGGCAACGGGACAGCTCCGCCGAACCTCCGGATTAGCCTGGCGCTGAATGGCGCGTGCGGCTTCGTCACTTGCGCCTTCTCCTCCCCCCCCCCCGCTTTCGCCCGCTTTCCCCCTCCCCGACGCCTCGCCCCGCTTCGCTCCATGCACCGCATTCAAGCACGCTCTCTGTCCACCCGCAACCCGGCCCCGCTCCCCCTCTGCTTCGCGTATCGTTTACCATTCTCATCCCTGCTCTGTACGCTTCTCTGTGAGCGTTTTCGGCTCCTTGCCACATCCCGCGTTCTCATTTCCAGGCCCCGATCATCCTGTAGTTTCTACGTTCCAATATGTCTCACCTCGACACAACTCTTTCCATTCTATTCCCCTTTCCCTCCCTTCTCTCTTCCATCCTCACCTATGACTACTCCGTCCATATCATCACTCTCTCTTCTCTGTATTCTTTCAGTGTCTCCTGGTCCAACTTCATCCTAACCACGTTCCCCTTCGTCTGCATATTTTCTGACCACTTCCCATCCCCGCACCATCCTTCTTCATTCGATGTATTCTTCTCCCGCAACATCTCCTTACACATAACGCAATTCCACATAAAACTTTCCACTTACTCATTACGCTCTCTCTCTCTCTCTCTCTCTCTCTCTCTCTCTCTCTCTCTCTCTCATCACTTGCATCTTCGTGCCTCACTGCGCATCATACTCATCTTATATCCTTCCCTCCGACCTCTCCTACCTTCCGTACCACCCCTCGCTTCCACGTCTCTTTACTTATCCCCTACTCTCTCATCCAACCCCTTGCTTCTCGTCCCATCGTGACTAGACACATCGCCAGACACGTCTCTTTCCACTTCTCACTGAACCATCCCGTGTTTACCCTTCCCACCCCTGCCATTTCTCCTACCTTGTTACCTTCCTTTGCTCCACGTCTCCCATCCACCCCCTCCCTTTTCTGACTCTCCCATCCTCTTGTTCCGATTTTCTTTTCTCATTCACCGGAAGAGGTGGCTCAGGGCATCAATTGATGCCACCGCAGTATCTCTGACCGGGAGGTCCTTGGTTTCAAGTCTCGACGGTGCCAAGGTTTCTGACGGCTGAAAGAGAATTCTAGCGGCCAGCTGCTCTGATCGGTAGTTTTTCGCGATTTCTCCGGTCAAAACCAGGCGAATGCCGGAGCAGTAACATACCAAACGGACAACGGGTGGCGCGCGACTTTTCCTTCCCCTTCCTTGTCTTCTTCTCATCCCTTGCACACACACGCACATACTCTGACTCACAAGACGGGAACTTACAGGTTGTCTCGGCTGGGACAATGCAACGCTGTTGGGAGATATCTGGTTGGGGAAACCCCTGAGATTCGGCGCCGAATTTCATGATCATGCGGAGAAAGATCACCACCTCCTCCCGAGTAAAACACACACTACTCTAACGGCACCAATGACCTTAGCCGTTAACGTTCCCGGAATCACGAATCAATCAAATCCTTTCTCATCCCAGGCCTCGTTATCCCATCGGACGCTCTTCCCGCCCTTTCTGCTTCCCGATCCGCGTCGCGCTGCCCAAACCGCCCTTATCAACGCGCCCCATTGCCGCCCTATTTACGGCAGACGCCCTGCGGGGGTGCAGGCAGGGGCGGGGGCGGCCAGACCGCCCGCGGAGCGCTAAGAATCACATCCGCTCGATGAAGCGTTCGACCGACTGCGCCCAAACGCGTGCTTCAACGGGCGGAACAAAAAGTTTCCGGGAGAAACAGCGATGGGGCCGTTCATACGAATCGGCGCTTTGTAGACGAGTTTGGGATTAAAGGATCGCCCATTCATTCGTCTTAAAGAGGTTGATACGAATGCCTTCATTGTACAAATATTAATTTTCACTCTTTTTCAACATATTGATGGAAATATTATGATAGTTATTTTTATATTAATTACGTGAACAGATTTTTGGCACAATGGATATTGAGGTGCCTATCAATATATTGCGACAATCTATAATTTAACTCAAGCAATATCAAGAAAATGTTTTCTACGATCTTTTGAAAATACTCATAATACGAATCTTATTTGTTTAATATATACTCTTTGTAGTTACCAAACAATAGTATCACATTCGTTCGCCATCTTATTGCGAAAAATAATTTTTCTAATGGCATAAACATGTTGATCTCCACGTGCTGAAATGCGTGCGTGAAGTTATTCTTTTCTTAAAAAGTCTGACAAACCAGTCATCGCCGAGCGTAAAATATTTTTTTCACTGTGACATTATTCGGCGGTAATCGTAATTTACACCATAAGTCAAGAAAGCCGTCCTTCTCATGGAGAGATAGGCGAGTTCTTCACCTGTGGAGCCATGAACAGGGACTTTTGCCCTGAGATGTGCAATATTTTATTCGAGATACTTCTTTATGCTTCATTTCCTGTAATTAAATGATATCACTGACATGAAAATGTAGTGCGGTTATCACTTCTACCACATACATGTCGATCTTTGTTCCTGTGTATTATTTAATTGTAACGAGAATACCAGGTTCTATCGATATAATGGATCTGGAAATGGAAGATGAGGAAACAATGGGAACTCCGTCCGATATATTAGAAAACGCAAGAGCCACAACTTCAAATATGTTTCCATTAAAATCAAAAGATAGATGTGCGGAAGAATATAGAGAATTTTGTAAGTGGCAAGGTGCAAGAGAGGGAAGAAGATTTTGTTTTCTCCCATTCGTTTCAGAAATGAGTGCAAAGTACCGTTAAATAGCTCTTTCATAGATTGTTCAATTACAATTAATGGAAATAGTTCTATATAAAATATCAAATGATAAGTGCACGTTTCGAATGTATTGAAACACATTATATTTTGCCATGACATTTTTTCTGATGGTGTTTGTGTCTTAGCTATATGAAGACGTGACGTCCATCACAATTAAAGTCATTGTATGCGTTGACACGATATATATTACAGATTAACCAACACTAAGCCACGAAATTTTAGTGTAATGCAAGCTTATTGGTTCTTCGTCGGTAGCACTTACATGATGAAGAAATGGTGAAAGTGAAGTCAAGGAAACGTTATTATACAACTCATCAGAATCATCCTGTAATGAACAAGTAAAAAGGTACAACAATGAGTTACTTTTCAGACAGCCTCGAATAAAGACTTTTACGCATGGTACAGAAGGAGAAGAGAAGTAAGAAAATAATCACACATTAATGAAAAAGCAACTTTAATAGGGGGAGGAAGCTAAATAGGACTGGTTTAACAAAGTGTGTCGCAAACTAGGTGTAAAGAAATTCAGAAAATAGAGAAACTTGGGATCTATTAATGAATGAAATAGTTATTACGTAGTCAATATGAACCCACGATTAAGCATTTGAATAAATCTTGACAAGAGAGAGACGCAGCTGGAATAGAGGCAATTGTAAAGAACGATTAGAGTAGATGACTTTGGAACGTTATCAGTTCCCTCTGTATTAACATAAATGCAATTACAGCAGATGCATGGGTATACAACTTTCGAAATAAAACACATTCAAACAGGGGTAGGTATTTGACGGATCGGAGTGTGTCTGAATTAAACGAACCTGTAACATGGAATGAAATTAACAGGGCTATGCCAGCTACGAATAATAGGAATGACGGAGCGCGAACGGAATTCCGATATATTTTTTTGGAATTGTGGAACATGGATCAAGAGAGTATTCTGATTTTTTAATAGCATTGCTGATACCGGACCGTATCCAGAAAGGTGAAGTACAGCTATCTTTGGTGAATTGTCCGGAAAATTATCGTGACATTAGTATTTTAACCAAATTATCGTAATATTTTTAATGCTACAAATCTTTTTTCTTCAGCTGCATAAAAAAGGTGAGCTGTGCCCATTGGTATCCGTACGTGGAGTACGAGTAGGTAATTTTTTGATATCCATTGACAAAAACGAATGCCAAGACATCTGCCTTGTGCAGTGAAAAAAGTTACTTCGCGCATAGAAATAAAATGTCTCATTCCTTAGTAACGCTGCCACATTCGTAGCTCTTTTAATATACTTGTATATTCCCCGAGATATCGAACATTTATTCCAATATAAAATTAAAAATATTTTTGAACTATTAATAGGTAAGTAGTTGTATAAAAATGTTGTTTATATTTTGTGAGTAAAGTATTATTTTTATGGTCTAAATTATTTTTCTTTTCACCTACGGTCTCGGCAAACAATTTATGATGCAAATTGATGGTTCTACTAACTGTAGGCAAAGTAATATTGTACAAAATCAGTTAAATGTTTGAAAACATTGATATTATCAAATGGATTAATAATTTTACTGAAAAGTAATATCAAAAGAAACATTTTAATAATCCTTTTTTGTTTCAGGTACTGATAGCTCTCTTTACATTTGCAGTCAAGATTGTGGTAAGTCTGAACTTACAGCTAGAAACATTTTCGTCGAATTGACATTTGGTCCTTGGTATACTTTTTCCGCATTTTTGTCTTCATTAACTTTTGTTAACAATATTTTTGTTCAGTGCTCTATAGTACTACGTGAAATTTTGTTCTGTTTATTTGTTGTCTCTGCCTAATTGGATCCAGTTTATTTTAATAATTGGAGCTCTTGCGAGTAACTTGTACAAAACGAAATACAACCAAAAGATAGTTTCACTATTTGCTATTCCCTTGCCCTCTACATCTTAGCTGTAGAGTTAGCAAGAGTAGCTGACAAGTTTTAGATGATACAAAGCTGCCCTAAAGTATTGCTCCAGTTGTTCATTTTCTTGATTTTCGTTGTACTGCGTTACAATGTGTTGGACACGGCCTTGATGTCAAACGTGATTTGAATGAAAATCTAGTAGAATTTCTGCACTGGACTGTTGTTCCAGTGGGATCAGACTGTAGATACGGTGGACCAATTTTCAGAGCACTGAAAATTCTATGGTTGAAATTGGTATACGCTAATACCAGTGGACATAAGTGTATTCGACAAATAATTTTGCACAAAAGTTTACCGGATCATTCCAGAAAGCCTTCAATTATAAGTATTCAGCATCATCGTGTATAATTTAATCACACCAAAACTCGCCTAAACGTAGAGTTAAATTGACCTTATTCACATTAAGACAACTAAATTTGTAACTGGATGTTATTTGAATAGTTTGCGTTTTAATTCCTTTCCTTTTTTATTAAGGAATGGCCATTAATAGAAAGGTATACTTTATCGACCATTATCCGTCTCTGTTTGTACAATCAATGTCTTAGTGACTTTTCCTTGAAAAAAGGTTTAGGGGCGATGTAAATAAAAGTAGAAAATGAATGATATGTCTATAATATACACCTATTCGTCTTATATTCTTGCTTATCATGTATCACTCTACATACAATTCGTTAAATACAAACGTGTGGAACATTTGTTAATTGTTTATTTTTGTCTTAATTTGCACTATTTCATAAATAAAATTTTATATTTCCCAAGTATACGTGCATACCATGACCCCCTTTTTATATTGACTGCAAAGCAAAATTTAATATTGGTAGATTAATACATACGTTTACGGTTTGTAAATACATTACAAAAACCAACCTACTACATGTATTTTCTAAGTTAAAAAGTGCATTTACTTACTTTCTACGACAATATTTTAAAATGGAACACTTTTCTTCATATTTTACGTGCACTTTTGAGTTACTTTCCTCAGCTCAGTTTAGTAGAAAAAGAGTCACCCCCTCCTTTCCATCAATGTCGGGTACGTCTTTCTTGAATAACCTCTTATTAACCTTCATTCTTTCATTCTTTTCGTAAGATAATAAAGTAAGTAACGGCCGTCTTATGACATAGTGGATAGAATATGCACTTTCCTTTGAGTAACTGCCTTCCAACCCCAACTAACGTATTTTAAGCAGAAAATAGACAGGGAGTACGAAAGTAGAATGAACTATAGCATTTTATGAAAATTAATGCTTAAACAAAATATCCATTCAAGAAGTATGAAAAAAGTACTACATTACATTAATAACAGAATATTATAAAGTTAGATATATTAAAGATATTAACTTAATATATGATTAACCACTATATTAAAGATAAAAAATCTATATTAAATCAAAAACATTATGTGAAACAAGAAAAGCGAGTACAAACTTGCTGTGAAAATACGCCCCATAACCATTATCTGAAATTTGTATTATTTTTCAGATTTAATTCTGAAGGAAAAGTGATAGAATCAATGTAACATTGTTATATCAATTCACTTTTTAGAGATGTGGAATGTTTCTCTAAAACCTCCTACGAACTATGTAAGCCCAATTTGCTAATACGACGTAAATCGTTTGCACTGAGGCCCGAAGATAAAGAAGTTTTAGTTATGTATAAGTTATTACTATGTATAATTCTGGGAAACCATTTTTCATTGCATATCGTTTGCATTAGTGCAAGTTCTATGAGAAAGTTGCTGTAATACTTACGAAACTACCTGTTGAATTAATTTTTTTTTTAATTCAGGTATAACCCAAGTTGGTCTCGTGATAAAACGTTGTTCTTAGAAATTAAATGCTTTTAAACTGATTTACTGATGAGCGTATTACTACTGAGAATATCTACTTTAGGGGTCTTCACTCTAGTATATGCATTCTTCTGATTCCCATTGTAAAATGTGATCTTTTGCACTTTGTCACTTTGCCAATCACACGACTTTGATAAAGAAGCAAATGTTATCTCTTGTCATGATTTCTCCTACATTAAAAAATATTCATTCACCAAAATAAACCTTTTAAAACTAATTTGACGTGGTAAATTTAATAGTTGTTAGATTAAGTACAAAGAAGAGAATAGTAAATTGAAGTTTGGGAAGAGATAGATTCTGATGTTAGGCTAAGATAAAAAAGAGGATCAGGAGAACGTCACGAAAAGGTTACAGAGAAGAAACTGATGTGAGGGGTTGATGTAACAAAACGAAAATAGAAGAAGTCACCCAGAGATAATCGTAATAAATAAATGATCAAGAGAAAAAATGTATGTATTCATTTTCATATTAATATTTAAATACTGAGAGAAAGTATTAAAAACGATTCCGATTTATCAAGTTGATGAGAAAGAGAAGATACAAATTTGACAGAAGACAAAAACGAGGAGTCGGGAGGTGTAAAAGATTGTTCAGAGGAGGCAGGGTAAACAGGTGAGAAGGACTACTGCTACTCCTCCTTGCCCCTCAGCCCTTAGTCACGGGCAGTGTGGAGAACATGGAATTATCTCTGATGCTTTGTCGGAGGGCAGAACATGGAGGGATGAAGGAGGGTCAGGGTGACGAAGGACGGGGTGGAGTGAGGTGGCAAAGCATGGAAGAGGAGGGATGGGGAAAAGGATGAAGTAGCAGTGCGAGACGGAAGATGTGCAGGGTATGGAGAAAAGGGAAGGAGAAGAGGAGAAACGCTGGTCAGTGAGGAACTGATAAGAGGCGGATTGGAGAGGGGCGAGAGAAGGGACCAATGTGTGATGGGGAAGGACGGAGGAAGTGAGAAGAACCTGTGAGCGACGGAGAAGAGGCAGAGTGGGGAGGAGAGGTAGAGTGGGGAGGGGCAGAGTGGAGAGGAGGTGTGGAGAGTCGAGACGTGACGGATTTGGGAAAGAACCAGTGGGAATAAACAGGGAGAAGCAAAGTGGGTCGGCCTAGGGTAAGGAAAGGTAGGGTGAGAAGGGATGGGGCAGAAAGAAGACGACAGGGGGAAAGGTGAGGCGTGTCGAAGAGGGAGAGGGAAGTATGTGAGGTGAGGTGGGGCGGGGCGTGGCAATTCTGGGAGGGACGGAATAGGAAGGTGTGGGATATGAGAAAAGGTGCGGATGCGATGGGGGAGAGACTGGCAAGAAGGGCGCAAAGAGAAGGAATGGAAGAGGAAGAGGAACGTCGGGCGGGGTAGGAGCGCTGAGGGACGATGACGGAAACCACGGGGGTGGACACGGATAAGCCAGGTGGAACGAGAAGCGAAGTAAACAGGGCGGGGAAAGGCAGGGCGTGATGGGCGGCACGAAGCGTGAAGGGACCATCTAAGCGTGGCCGATTGAGATCAGAAAGCGACGGATTGATTGATTAGTGATTCCGAGCGCGTCGATTGCTATAGTCGTTAGTCCCGTATATGTAGTGGATGTTTGTGTAAGTAAGCGTGAGGATAGAGATGGAGAGGTCGCGCGTGGTCCGTGACCCGTTTGTTGGGGTATTGCTGTGGCTTTCGCCTGGTGTTGATCGGACAAACTACAGAAAACTACTCATCAGAGCAGTCGGCCGCTAGAATTGTCCTTCAGGCAGAGGCTTTGACTCGACCTAGCTATCTAGCTAGTGTCAAAAACCCGGCCACCGTCAAACCTCCAAAGTGGGACTTACTAGTCGACGTCAATATAGTGACATCAGTTGACGGCTTGAATCACCTTTGCCGGTTGAGAGCGATGATGCGATGAGGGGAAAGGAGTGGGAAGGGGGGGGCGTGTCATTTCGTGAGGCGCCGACGCTAAACGCCGCTTTGCGTGTGGTTCCCACGCCGTCGCACAGCGCGGCGACACTTCCCCCCTCCCCCACCCCCACACAACCTTCCATTCGTCAGCCGCTTCGCCGAAGTTGGTGGCGGCGCCCGTGTGAGATTGCTCATTGAGGGCGGGGCTCGAGGCGACAGAACTACAACCGCCAATAATAGATAGTTTTGCATTATACGGCGCTGCAGAGCTGATGCGGGTGGTGGGATATGAGGGGGCGAGAGTGTGTGTAGTAGAGGGGAGACAATATTGTCGAGTGGCTGGAGGGCAGGAAGGGGGGGGGTTGAAGCGAGACAAAAAGTACTTCAGACGCCATGAAATGCTGCGTGGTAGGTAAGTAAGAATACATAGTGAGAAAACTGCGATGGAAAAGATAGGTTACAATGAGGGATGTGAACATCGCTACGTCGAGGCGATTTGACTCTCGTGGCGATGTGAGAGGCAAGTTCTCCTAGACAACAAAAATATTTCGGCGCAGTGAGAACGGAGAGAGAGGCTGGGCAGAGAAGAGAGTGTGAGGGGGTGGGTTGGTGCGGAGTTGTTCGATATTGATGTTGTAGGGTGTGGAAATATGAACAACATTAGGACGAAGGCGACGGATTAGGGGAAGACGCGGAGATGCAATCCAGACAAAATATGCGTCAGTTATCTTGGTATGCTTTAGTGGTAATGCTGTAGGGTGGTCTAGAAACAAAAGGAGTAGAGAAGACTTATAAACGATGAAAGGGTGTAGGTTGTAGTGAGGATGTAAACATCGCTTAGTGGAGAGCAATGGACTCTCTAGCAGTGTGCGATGGAAGGTAACTGACTAGTGAGTACCGAGATCGCTGAGGTCTTGAAAGGTATAATTTGGGGTTTAAACAAGAGTTAGAAATAGAAGTTGCAAGAAAAATAGAAAAGTGCTGTTTGTAAAAATATTAATGTTGAAAAATGTGGCCACTAAAGTATCTCGGGGCTCCACGCGGTCCCTTAGTTTGCTCTACCGTCAAACTCGCCACTTGTGGGAGCCCTGGGGCGGTAGAGAATCAAAAAGCGTGAGGAGGGAGTAGAGAAAGAACAAAGAAGAAAGTATAGCGCGGCAAGAAAATCTCACCGCTCTGGCACCGTGCTGGTGAGAGTGCTTGTAACAAAAATTATATTGGTAGAAGGAGGTGCAGCTTGTGATACACGAATACGTAAATCACCACAAATATAAAGATGTAATAATAATAATAATAACAATAGCTAGAAGTGTTGTTCCCTTCCTTGTTGCCCAGTGATTTGGCTCCTAGCAACTGCCAGTGCAGTTTTTAATACGAGGCTCTCATTCGTCTCGCGATGGTGGTTTTTGGCGCACTGTACCAAGAATGCTCACACGAACATTAAAATAGAGAAACATAAATTTATGCAGAGTTGATGCCGAGCAAGAGCTGAGAAGATCTCTGCTGTGCGTGCTGAGTCTCCGGTAGAAAGAAGACCAGTGGGTATTTTTCCGTATGATCGTTGACTGTGTCGTAGCAACAGGTCGATAGCAAGATGGATAGCAGTACGTTCTGAGAGGTAGCGGTTCTTGAAATGAGCTTCTAAGGTGAAGGAGGTGGGAAAGGAATAGGACAGAGTTGGAGCTGTAGGAGGGATTTGAAGTTGAGTGGGGGTGGCGCGAGAGCGAGGAAGATGCGGCGTCAAGGCCGACGGGTGGACGGCGGGGCAGCGCCAACTGTGGGAAGTGTGACGGGTGAGGTGGGCTTAGTGGGTGGAGTGACTGGGTGGTGAGGTAGTGGGGACGGTAGGGTGGTGTGTCGTGGGATAGCGAAGCGGCCAGCCGCCCGGCGCTTGAAGGTGATGGTTGATTGATTAGTGATTCCGGGAGCGTCAACCGCTAACATTATTAGTCCCGAAACTATAATACATAATTTTATCGCAGAAGGAGGAGGGCTGGTGGTGGTAGTGATGATGATCTTCCCACGCTGGATGGTGAGAGTCGGCGCGATACTGCCCGTTGACTAATGTGGTTTTCCTCAACCAGATACTTCCCACCACCGAAGCACCGCCCCAGCCGGGAAGAGCTCTACGCTCCCGAGCGGTCTCGTGACATGTGTGGTAGTGTGGTACATGTTATCGCAAGTGTGTGTGGGGGAGGAGGGGCCAAGGAAGAGAAAGGAAAGATCGCGTGCGGTCTGCTGGCATTAACTTGAAGAAACCACAGAAAAGTACGTATAAGTGCAGGCGGCCGCTAGAATTCTCATGCAGACAACGGAATGCTTGGAATGGAAAATCCTTCCACTACCGGAAGAGGAACAGGAGGCCCCCTCGGCACAGGCACACTAGTTGACGCCCTAAGGCACCTCTCCGGTGTGGAGGTGGAGAGGGCAGCGGTGAGTGGCGGATGGAGGGCGAAGAGGGCGGGAGAGGCTCCCGGCGGAGGCTGCGTGGGCGGCGGCGAGGTGCTCGCGTGAGCTCCAAGCGTTGCCCCTGGCGCACGCAACCCGCGCATCAGTCCGCAGCGTTTTGCGGGCGGCCACCGCGCCGCGTGCCTGCGCCCTCCCC